AATTGGAGAATAGTAATAGTAGTAATAATAATAATAATAATAATAATAATAGTAATAGCGATAATTGTTGTAAGTAATGAAAATATTAAATAATGGCAATATATTAAATAGTAATGGTAATATTTAGTAATAGTGATAATATTAAATAGCAGTGATAATACTGAATAATAGCAATAATATTAAATAGTAATGATAACATTAATAGTAATAATTTAATAGTAATAGTAATAATATAGTAATAATAGTAATGGTAATGTAGTAATAATAATAGTAATAATATTAAATAATGATAATATTAAACGATAATAATAATAATAATTAAAGGATTGCACCAGACGTCTAAAGTTGACGGTGCGTGACGGGTGCGCCATCCAAAAGGTGTTATGGTCATCGTTCGATTACATGAACGGGCCAGAGCTGTGCTTCGTTTGGGAACCCGAAGTATCGACGAGTCGGGCATCTCCGGCAACTCTGGCTGCGGATTTGGGACTGGGATCGGGTATGGGACTGACGCCGGCATCGAGGTCGGGTAATAACTCGGAGACGGCATCGAAGGACTCGAAAGAGGACACGTCAACGAGCATGACGTCGTCGGTATCGAAGGCACCGAGCACGAATAATTACGAGGAGATTGATGACGTGTTTAATGTGAGTGGTGGTTTTTTGTGTTGTGTTGTGGTTGTTTGTTTGTTTAGTTGTTTACTTGTTTACGGGTTTGTTTACTTGTTTACGGGTTTGTTTACTTGTTTACGAGTTTGTTTAGGGTTTTGTTTACTTGTTTGCGGGTTTGTTTAGGGTTTTGTTTACTTGTTTACGGGTTTGTTTACTTGTTTACGGTGTTGTTTACTTGTTTACGAGTTTGTTTAGGATTTTGTTTACCTGTTTACGGGTTTGTTTAGGGTTTTGTTTACTTGTTTACGGGTTTGTTTACGTTTTGGTTACGGTGTTGTTTACTTGTTTACGGGTTTGTTTACGGGTTTGTTTAGGGTTTTGTTTACTTGTTTACGGGTTTGTTTACGGGTTTTGTTTACTTGTTTACGGTTTTGTTTACTTGTTTACGGGTTTGTTTAGGATTTTGTTTACTTGTTTACGGGTTTGTTTACGGTTTTGTTTACTTGTTTACAGTGTTTTGTTTACTGGTATCTTAATTGATAATGATGGTAATATTTGTACAGGAGGAATTGCTGACGTGCGCGATTGCAGAGTTGGACGTGTGTTCGGTGTGTTCGAGAATGCATTCGGGTGTTCTTTGCGACAGTATGGTACGGGCATTTTTACGGAATTTTCAAACTTTTCACCGGAATTTTCCAACATTTTTATGAAATTTTCCAACGTTCCATTGGAATTCTTAGTTCAGAATGGAAAATTTTTATGGAAAATGAAAAATATTTTCAGATAACCCCATCGACGATTTCAAGGAATGACTCATTGAATTGTGGCAGAATTGAAGCGGGTGGTGACAGCCGGCTGGAGAGAAATGTGCATTATTTGGATGAGTTTATGCGATCGAGTGATACGAGTGGTGGTGCGACGAAATCAGAGACTACGCTGGATGGAGAGGGTAGGAGATCGCGTTTAATGGTGAGTGTTATTTGAGGGAGGGGGTGTTTTTGGATGTTTTGAGGTGGTACTTGAATTTCAGGTGAATTTTAGGGAATGGTACCTGAATTTTTTAATTTCAGGCTAGTTTCGCATCCGCGTCATCGGAACTCGAGGAGAGTCAGAGCACGGCAACGGAGGAACTGCAGGAGGTGGCCAGAAACGAGTTCTTCCCGAATACACCGCAAGATTTATCGATGCTTTTAAGGAGAGGGCAAGGCGCGGACGGGTGCGAAACGGGGGTGACCCCCGTGGAGGGGGGGTACACCCAGGGGGGTGCGCAGTTGACGGGGTACGAGAGCTATCTGGAGGGGGGAGGTCGTGGTCTTGGGACGTTTGAGGCCAATATGCATAAATCTGATTCGGTGAGTTCATTGGGTAGTTTTATTTTTCTGGTTTATTTTGGTTGTTTGATGTATTTCTATCTCTGGTTCTCTCAAATTCTCATAGTGTTTCTTTGGTGGTGAATGATTTTTTGGAACGTGGAAATTTCGTGAATTTTTTCCATTATGTTTGGAAATTCAGTGAAATTTTTTTCTGCTTGAGGTGCACACTCAGGCGTCTAGTTTCTCGAATGTTTCGGAAGACGGAGAGGGGGAGAGTGAAAATACAATTGGAAATCAAGAGAAGCAGACGGAAAAGACGTTGGAGAGTGTGGAAAATGAGGATACGGAAAAGAGAAACGGTGCGGAGGGTGATGGCGAAGAGCCTCAACAACAAGGTTGGTCGTTTGCGGCGATTCGGTTCTGAGCCTTTTTCCTTATCTTCCCAAATTTCTATCTCTAATTCTCTCGAATTCTAGCAACACTTTTCAAATTTCTATTACTAATTCTCTCGAATTCTAGCAATGTTTTCGTCAGCAGGTGATTCGGGTATTACGGGCACAATCTCAACGCATAGTGACTTGAGCGCGTCGTGCGTTGCGGTGCGGTCGCCTAGCGGTGGGAAGGTTGGTATTTGTCGTATGTTTTTATTATGCGCGCGCGTGCGTGCAATACGCTTCGCTGCACGGAACGCGATACGCACGCACGAAGGCACGCGAGCTGAGCGACATATTTTGCAGCCAACGGACGAGGGTTACGCGGAGCCGGAAGTGGAGGACGATGACGCGACGCGTGACGG